CGCATAGCGAGCTAATTAAGCTTGCAGTCGAGCTAGATCGTGGCTACATTTTGCAGGAGCACGAGTTTTCAAACTCGGATGCTTACATGAGAATTGGGTGGTAAGTTATATATTATCATTATTTCCATTGTAAAATCGAACATATAGAAAAGCATTGGGATATGAAAAAGGGAGGGGGGGAGGGAGAGAAAGTAATTTATTCATGAGATAATGTGGACTTTGATTTGTCATTATTGTTAGTAAATATGCTAGTGACGTATGGCTGATTCTGGGTGAGTTTATTGACAAGCTTTTGGGGGGTTTGAGAATTGATGATTATGAACGCTCAATTGAACCGAGGATATATAGCACGTGTGGTAACATTGCCAACACACCCTTGATCCCTCGTTCAATCCCGTCTAACTAATCTGGAGTGTCGGAATAGAAGGTGAGACGCACACACCCAGACTTTACTTGGTAGGGGTCGGGATTGAACCCGGGCTTTGGCCTGAGAAACCTCGTTTCTAGAAAAAAAAAAGGAAAAAAAGAAAAGAAAATAAAAGAAAAGAAAAGAATTGTCAATTGAAGCATTTGTATGCAACAACAAAGTCTTCGGAGTTTAAACCTCAACGACCAACAAATTAAATACGTTTATATTCCTCTTTGCATGAAGTGTTATTCTAAATGTTAAACCTAATATAGATTTATGTAGGAAAAAGTGAATCTAAGGTGACACCCTAGGCTCCCACCTAAGGGCGCTCCCACCTAAGGGCACGGCCTAAAATCACATCATTTCTTTTTTTTTTTGCGATCCGCTTCGTTGAACTTGATCTACACGTTCTTAAACCCAAACACACCAATTTTGGGGTGAACCAGTCGTGTTTTGACCCTATATCCACTCGCTGTAATTTTAACGGTTTCGAATGAATAGAACTTTTTGCACGGCTAAACGAATGGTCAAAACACAACGGGTTCACCCCAAAAATGGTGTGTTTGGGTTTAAGAACGTATAGATCAAGTTCAACGGAGCGGATCGTAAAAAAAATTTAGGAAATGATGTGATTTTAGGCCGCGTCCTTAGGTGGGAGCCTAGGGTGTCACATTAGATTCACTTTTGCCATTTATGTATTGTTAGGATTGTAGTATATCATATTATATTATACTTTATACTACCTTTAAAAGTGGGAGTTTGGGAAAAACTTTCTATAGACAAAAATACTATTGACCCTTTTAGATATTACATTATTATCCTATCATACCCAAATTATATATATATATATATATATATATTGAAATTTTATTAAAAATTATATGAAGTTATAAATAATTGTTCAATAACCACATTCAGCCACCTTCTCCGTATCTACAAAATAGAAAATCTAAACACTTACAAAATTGTTCAATAACCGTAACTTCAACCATATTTTACGCTACCACCCTTAATTATTCAAGTTTTAGAAAACTACTCCTAACTACCATTTCATTAACATAGAACCACACATGCTCTTTTCCACTCAATTTTCCATCGAAAAATTAATATTTTGATGATTTTACCCTTTAGGTTTAATTTATTAATTTTGGATATCAAAATTAAATTTGTTGAGCTTTGGATATCAAAGTTAATTTTTTCTTTAAACTTTGGCAATTAAAATCAAATTTTATTAAAATTTAGTATATCAAGTTCAAATTTTGTTGAACCTGTAGCAAAGTTAATTTTTGTTGAACTTTGAGGTATTTTTTGGGTAAAAAAAAGCTTCACGATATCAAACTGAAAAATGAAGTTGACTCTAAGTTATTTTCAGTCAAAGAAACATTTTAGAGTATCAAAGCTAAATGAAAATAATTTGGAACATTTAACTTTAATACACAAAGCTCAACAAAATTAACATATGTAGGGGGAAAATTATCAAATATAATTGTCGAATGGAGAATTGGAAGGAAAAGTGCATAGGTGGTTCTATGTTAACAGGATGATAGATATGGGTGGTTTTCTAAAAATTTAGTAATTAATTTAGTAATTAAGAGGGGTAACTTGAAATAGGGCCTAATTTAGATGTGGTTTCCTTAGAAAAAAACCCATTTATTTAGTAAAAAAACACATAAATTTAAAATTTTGACAATCTAAACATTTAAATCTAGCATTTAACATATAACAATAGAAGTCTTTATCTTATCATTCATTTCTTTATATTTAAAATTTAAAACAATGATATAAATTAGATCATATTATGAAATATTCTTATCTCCTAAATTATCTTCTTAATTAATGGTCCTAAAAAATTATCATATTTAAGGAGACAAATGTTAATTATGTGTGAGTGACCAAGATAGGAAATATCGAAAATGCATAAAATTTACACAACTCGTAGAAATACTCAAAAACTGTAATTTAAAGATTTTTCAAGTAAAATCAACTTGCAAAATTTATTAAATTTCCCAAAAGATTTTTAGAAATTATATATTTTGTAGAAAAGTTTAAAGAACTCACGGAAACCCGAAAGACTTCAAAACTTTAAAAAATTTATAGAAAAAATCCTAGATTTTAAAAATTTTGTAGAAAAATCTAGAATCATCAACATTTGAGTTGTTTTTATAGAAAAGTCCTTAATTTAATAAAACACCAGGAGTTTACAAAGTTTACAAAAAAGATAACCCTGAAACTGCAAAAAAACCTTAAATTTTCATTAATTTATTAAAAAAAATCGAGCTTCACAAAATTTAGCCAAGTAGGGTGAATCTGAATGGCAAGACCATGAAATTTGATGAATCAAGCTCAAGAAATGAACAATATTAGAATTTAGAACTCATTTATGATCATTTGCACACAATAACTTTTGCAACAAGAAGAAACATGTATTCCCTTTAAATATATTATAATACTTTGTCAGTTGCTATTTATTCATAAATTACACACACACACACACATAAAGAAATGAGTATGCTCGGTACTAAGCACAAATTTTGTGCTTGGTAATGAGGTGTCCTATTCTTATCCACTCATTTCAATTTCCAACAACTCCTTAACCCATGTGAATGTGGGCCCCGATTTCAATGAATGAAAGAATGAAAGGGAATATGCCACATCACTATATCAAGCACAAAAACTTGTGCTTGGTACCAAGCAAACACATTTATATCATATATATATATATATATATAATATTATTAATATTTATATATATATATATACTAATTATATTATATGGAGGCAATATGGGTATGCTGTAGCCAAGAGCAAAAAGTTCTGTGCTTGTAGTGGATGTGTCACATCTCCTCACACTACATTCAAATATGGGACACATTTCATGGAAGGTGAGTGGATAGGATGTGACACATCAGCTCGGGTCGTGATCTTTTACCGAATCACAAAATTTGTGGCTTGTACAAGCATACCATTTCTCTCTCTCTCTCTCTCTCTCTCTCTCTCTCTCTATATATATATATATATATATATATATATATATATATATATATATAGAGAGAGAGAGAGAGAGAGAGAGAGAAATATGGAGAACCTTGGTACCAAGTTGCTTAAAGCAACTTGGTAGTGATGTGGCCTAATCTTGCCCTTACATCACACCTCGAAGATAGAGCCTCAACCACCATTCACAAACTCCAATGTAGATGTAGGGACAAGATTAGGCCACATCACTACCAAGTTGCTTGAAACAACTTGGTACCAAGTTTCTCCATTTCTCTCTCTCTCTCTATATATATATATCCCTTAATTAAAAAAATTACCGAGGTGATGACTACAGTAACAAACAGGATCAGTCGATCGTTCATCAACCCTGATTTACATGGATTCGATAGATTGTTTCTACTCATTTCACTCTTAAAATTATGTATTATCATATGTAAACACTCAAAAATTCCTCAACAATACTTTCTCCTAAATTTAGTTTCTTTTCTTTTGATTAACTATCTCATTTTCCCGCCCACAAAATAAATTCAGCCTATGAAACAATTTATGTCCACAATGCAATTATAATGAAGATATAAGCTTAAAAGAAATAATTATAACATTTGACCACAGCGCGACGCATCCCATCCCACCTAGTAGCAATCCAAAAGCTTTGAATGTTCTGATACTCCAGTCTTCACACCTCAAGAATTCCATCGGTTGGGAAAAGATCGAAGATTTGTTAGGTGTAACTACAAGAAGAGAGCACTAGAGTGACAAAAGAATCTCATGAAGTGGATGATTTCTTCAACCTAGATGTCTACGCATAAAGGCGTTTGTATCTGGACCACTGGGGCACGCTGAATGATCTTTAGCCAATAAAGTCCTTTGACCGAGGAAGAGAAGGAAGATAAGATGATGGAGGAAAAAAAGAAATAAATAAAATGGCCCAAAGGAGAACAGATTGGTCCTCGTTCATGCGTTATACGTTTGTGGGAGCAAATCAAGAATCGAATCACTTGGTCCACTGGAATAAGAAAAATTCTTCAAGGACCCAAAATATTGGACCAATAGGAGGGACAAGTGAGGTGTCCCCCTCCTATTGGATAACGAGTTGGCCATCATTAATGATGACCAACTCATTATCCAATAGAAGAGGGACACCTCACTTGTCCCTCTTATTGGTCCCATATTTTGGGTCCCTGTAGTAAAGCTCCTGGAATAATTGTCAGCGTCATTCTCATTGTCAAGGGTCCCTAGATTCTACTCTACCAAAAAGGCATCCTTATCAATTTTGATGGTGCCCATGATAATGATGATGATGGTGGTGACGACGACCATCATAAGCGTGATGATGATGTTGAACCTCGTAGCTAATATACTTGGTTACGGGAATATTTTGCATTTTGCACCTTGGGATTGCAGGTTGCCGGCTACAAATTGCAAAATCACTCGCAGATTGCGAGCTCACAAAATCATTACAAAAACTTTCGGCCAGCGTGATTGTTCTTATGAACTATCTATCCTCCGAGATCGAGGAAAGTCGCCAGCATGAAATCACTTAGTGTAATCAACGGATCTGATTTGTTCACAAAAAAATGTAAGAAAATGAAGAGCTCGTCATTTTCATCCATCCGTACTATTTGCCTGATCACTCGAAAACTTAGCGTCAGTGATCATCCAACAGTCTTCAACCCATTGGCCCGTCATCCAATTTATGATACCTACATGTTCCTGCACATGGAAGAGAACAGCATCATTCAAATCACAATCAAAATGATGGCTACTTATTCGCTTTTTTTCCCATTCATCACTAATCAATATTTGATCCCAAGGGAAAAGGGGAAAAAGACAGCAAATGAATGATGGAGCAAACAAAATAATCTAGATGCCACATAGACCATCATGCCTAGATGATTTTTTTTTAATTTTAATTTATCTATTATATTTTCCATTAAGACAGAACAAAAACTTGAACCCCCTGTTTGGAGGGGGAAAAAATTTCTTATAGAATCCCCCCTCTATAGAAGAATATCATATAGGAAAGGAGAGGGTGAAACATGTCATATCACGAATCTTGATGCACATAGCACTGATGTCTACCAGTGCAATAGTGACCGCATTGGTAGTTATACCACCTCTTCATACTCTATTTCTATGTAGGACCCTCTTCAGGAATTCTTTCCCATTGTTTCTACTATGAAAGGTAATGTTTGGGCGTTACGAGGATGATTTAAGAGGTAAGGGTGATCAAATATTCATATAGTACAAAGATGAACTAGAGATATCTACACAATGATCATGCATGGGATAATCAGTAATGGCGTTGGCATACTTACACAGGAGGAAAGGTGACGTCTTTGTAGTGCACAAATTTCATAATTTCAATCAAAATTTTCAAGGACTTAATTTTTATGATGGGAAACCTTCATATTTCAAGAATTCCCAGTCATTATCTGAAGCTGATTTCTGCACACTGCTCGCAGCTATGTTTTCTTGCTCCCGACTTCCCGATTGGTCTTCGCCGCTATCTCTATTGTTCTCATCTACTTCCACAGGCAACTCATCTGCTGAAGGAATGTTCTTTTGACTATATGAGCTGAACAAAGAGGACGAGCTGTATGTTGTCATTAGCAGTGATCCCCTGAGTGGAGCATGCTCATCGACTCTATTTTTAAGTGATATAACATCCTCACAAATCACAGCAATTTCTCCTCTGCGTACAAAAGAAGTTAGAATTGTTTAGCTATTACACAAAATTCGGTGAACAATAAGACAAATCAAACAAAATGTGGAGACTTACTGCAAGGTATCTACAACTTGACCACGGTCCTCCAAGAAAGTCCTCAACTGATCCACAGAAGGAAAGAAAAGGGGAAAAAAATTACATACTTCTGAGCCTTTATAAAATAATGAGTAAATCGTACATACCACCCCTCATTCAGACCTTCCGCTGCATAAAACCCCCCTCAACTCATTACTAGCACATATTCCCTCCTCAATTCATTAGGAGAAGGGTGTTACTTGCAATTTATCTTTCCAAAAATACCGTTTCAAAGGTGCTAAGTGCTAGTAAACGAGTTGCAGGGGGTTTAGTGCAACTGAAGGTATAGTGAGGGGGTTATATGCAATTTTTACCCTAAAATAATATATGTGTAATGCTTGAAGTGGCAAAATTTACCTTGCCATTTTCCTTTGCTTCCTGCTGCAGTTTTTTAGACTCTTGTACTATGGTCTCCATAATGTCTTCTTGTTCTTTTAAAGCCTTCTGGGCCACTCGTTCCTTCTCGAATTTCTCCTGCTCAGCTACAGCTATTTCATCCTTTACAGCAGCTAGTCGTGCTTCAAGAGTTTCACGAATCTATCGAGCAGCACAAAGGTTTCACATCTGTAAGCTATTTGGATTATTAAAATAGGTAAGGAATGGACCCAGCAGCGAGCATAAAAAAAAAGCAGAGTTCATTCAGGAAAATAGTGTTGCAAGCAAGAGGTTTACTGAAGAATTTTTTTTCCCCTAACGCCTCGTTTGGTACGCGGGAATGGACAGACTTGGGAATGGAATGGAAGAAAGAATGGAATGGATTGCATGTGGGAATGGAATGATCATTCTCATTCTCTTGTTTGGGTGCGTTCGTAGAATGAAGCTAGAATGGAAATCTCATTCCCATTCCCATGTTTGGTATCACTAGTACACAAGTGAGAATGAAATCTCATTTTCTAATAATGCCCTTACAACAACATAGATTTTTAATAAGATAAAAAATAAACATTAATGATAATAACTAAATAATTTTATATACGCATATGTTATATTAATCTAGGTATGTGTTATACTAATACTCGTGTTATCCATCAGGTGTATGTTTCGTTTATATTTTTTAAACAATACTCGCTATTTCTTAGTCTTAAAAATTAAAGAAAAAAAAAAAAAAAGATTATCGTATCTTTCATAGGTCCAAAAAAAAAAGAATGATATCCACAATCCACAGTTCTAGATATATAAATTAACTTATTTGATAAAGTATCAAAATCACTCAATTCATAATAGCAAAAATCCATAAAACAATATCAACTAAAATAATAAGTTTCGAAATAGCATTATGATATACTAGCCTAAATTGTCAATCTAAAATTGCCCACTTGCATAGCGCCTCACCCAAACATTCTTTATTATTAATATGGATATAATTGAAAAATACCTAACTAGTTTTTGATTCTCACTTGAATGGGAATGACCATTCCTTATCTTCTCACTTGGAATGCTCATTCCCACAAATAGTGGGAATGATCATTCATAGGGAATGGTCATTCCAACATCTAAAATATAGGTGTGTTTGGATGCTATCTGTGTGTTTTTCAATTTCATCATCCAATTGAATTCTTCTGAAACTGATTATAGGAAAAGCAACCTAAACAACATTGAAACTTAAAATTCAAGTATTTATGAACACATTGTCATAAGAAAACTCGCAAACCAAACAGCCATGTGGGGATTTCATCAAATACATTAGGTCTTAACTAAGTAAAGAGGTTACGTGAAAAAAAGTGAACATGATATTCAATAAATGGAAGCCTAGCCACACAAATCTAAAATTAATGTAATAGATCAAATGCTGACAGATAGTAAGACATGTTAAGTCATGAACCCTGTAGAAGACCCTAAAATCAAGTCCTTCATATCTACTGTAATATTATGAAGGAAAAATGCCTGCAACTTTGACTACTTCATGAAAAGGCAAGTTTGAGGTCGTAGTTTGCACATGGTGCACAATGAGAATCTTCCAGAGGTGCAAATACTGTTGATACCTAAAACTTACACGTAAAGGTATCCAGTCCAAGCGAGTAATGGTGAAAAGGAGATTAAACTAATGACCACGCACCCGAGAATTAACAATCAAAACCTTTTTTTTAGTGAATGCCAGAGTAATTTGATTCTGAAATGTACCCAAGCCAAAGATGTTTGGCACACATAAGGCCCTAAAAGAAATCCTAGATCCAGACCCCTAAATAATACGACCGATCTCACCAAAATTAAGTCAGATCCGAAGTCTACTAATATAGGTAATAACAGTTGACGTTTATCTTCTGCTCAGAACAGTCTTGGGTTTGTTTAATGGAGTTAAGTGATCCTTTACTATGACCCATTCTTATAATTTTTGTAGAGGATATTAAGAAATTTTCTGAAGAAAAAGTCATACAAATAATCAAATTATTTATCATTCAGACATATAAGTTTGTCCAGTTCAAATGTTCAACACTTCTTTCTAGAAAAGATGGAACACGCTGTTGGATACTTATGGAAGAAACTAGCATAATTGCCTCCATTCTTGTAAATTCTAACTTAGATCTATGTGTACGTGCACATTCTGTGACTCTGTCCATGTGTGAGTAATGGCATTCATGCTTCCAAATGCTTAAGGTCAGTACCATCAATGTAAAACCTATATTATGAATTTAAAAATGAATGGTCGCCTACTCCATGGTATTTAATTTACCGAATTAACAGTCAGACATGGTCATTGGTTACAAATCAAGAAGCATCTTGGAGTGCATTGAGAATAAAAAGAGTTGCATGTATGAACCTCATTGATGATTGAAACAGATTTATCCCTTTCGTCCGACAATTTGAGAAGACGAGACTGAAGTTCCCGAGCTTCAGTTGATAGAACAGCTTTCTCTCCATATACTTCACCAGCATGCTGCCAAAATCAATAAAAGTCATCAATGTTTATATCATTTGCTCGTTGAGCATGTTGCAACATCTGTTTGAGTTCCTCCACTTTTATAAGGATATCCTGACCAGCTATGCAAGCTTCTTCTTTAGCCTGTTTTGCTCTCTCCTCAAGAACCTCTGCCTCTTTCATCATATTAACAACTGACTCCACCTCAGATACTAGACTTTTCTGTGCATTGTTAGATATAAGATATTAAAACATCCATTGACAGCAGTCTGCGATGTAGCCCAACTAGCAAGAACCAAAATTCTAGACACTAGAAAGTACTTTTTGTTACTTAGAACAAAATGAAGTTGCACTGTACAAGAGCAGAAAAAGAAAGCAAGTGAAAGACAATAAAATGAGTTATAAATTTATGATGATAAGAGTTATATGAAGCATATAACATCACATACATATAAGGCATGAGTTTTAGAGAATTTATGATGATAAGAGTTACATGAAGTATATAACATCACATGCATATAAGGCATGAGTTTTAGACAGGAAAGAAACTATTACAATAAAGGTGTGGAGATTGTAACAGAATATGACAATAATTATAAGAAGCTCAAGATAATCCCTCTCTTCATACAGGAACCAAAGATAAATTATACTTGAATCTAATACATTTTTACACAACAGATAAATGCAACTGAGATTTGAAAGCAGCTAGNCCTCGGGTTGGCGAGTTGCAAACAAATAAGAAAACAGGAAGGTAGCCTTTTTGTACTAAAGAGATGATTTCCAGCCTGGTGGAGAGTAACTTTACTGACTTGTATCCACTTAAATGACTATTCTTGATTAAGATCCCATATTTACTCAGGAATTCCAAATTCAATCATAAAAGCAATCATAAAAGCAATCATATCCTATTAACAACCTGAAGATTTTTGAATTATTGACGAGACTTCAACTATTTACAGGAGAACTTCCAGACAGTGGATGAGGAAAATAGAAAATGAAAATCATTAGAACAAGTTGTCAAGCATCCTCTGGAGGAAGCTATCTTTTTCTTTTCTTTTTCTTTTTTTTGGGGGGGTAGGGGGTGGGGGTGCACATGCTACACAAGTGATGTCATTTTCCCCTTCCCAGGTATAGTAAAAAAAGAATACATGACAAAGACGAGCATTAGAAAGAGCTCTGGAGGATGAGGGAAAAAAATAAAGGAAATAGAAACTTTTCATTGAGTGCGAACAGGCGTATTCATTCTGTTAAATTGCAAACTCACAAACAATAAATACTATTTCAAGTGGGAAAAGTATCATCCAAATTAGATACAACATAATCGCATGCTATCAAGATGGCAGAATTATTTCAGTAGTTGGCGATGAAGGTACAACAGCTGATAATACTGAGACCTATAAAAGCTTTCATGAACAATTTAACATCTAAAGGAAATCCAAAGGCTGAAAATAAAACATAGGTCTTAACTCTCAACAATGCAAGAAGGTTCTAACAAAGGGCAGCTTGCCGCAGCATCAACGTGAGATTTTAAACAAATTATCAACCCCTACAATGGATACTCGTAAAGACTCATGACACATGGGTACAATGCCTGAGGACATGGTATAAAAGCACATTAGTTAAAGGATACTTGGACCTTTCACACGTAACATCTAAGCCAATGAGGATAGTATTATCATCTATAATTATTTATTAGAAACTCATGTAATTTATCAGTACTATTACATCCTTACGGATCCTGATCCCTAACAACTAAGATGTGGAGCTTCTCAACAATTAGATCTTTGGTCATTCCAACCATCTGCATATTTTTTAGCATTAAAGAAAATCAGTGTAATTATTCTGTATCTTGGATAAACCTCCTTACTGAACAAAGTTATATTTCCTCTAATAAATGTCAAGTATATTGTTCTAGTGCATTGATTAATTAACTGCATGTGTATAAGCAAGATAATAGTCATACAGATTAACAAGATAAGAGTTGTGCAGACTATGTAATAACTAGAGTTTCATAATTGCATGTAGCAATATAGAGAATTCCTCAACAGCTAAGACATATAACAAAAAAGTGAATGCAGAAGCATGTCAAACTGGGAAGCAGAAGACTTACCTTACTGCTTTTCGCATTCTCGATGAAATCTTCAAGAAGATCAATGTTTACTACACGGGCTGATCGAGTAGATCGAACCATGTGTTGATCATTTTTATCAAGGGAAATCACCTCAGAAATACAAGCCAATTTTTGTGGACAATTCTTGGGTAAACGCTTTGAATGATCTTCAGTTTCACCAAAAGCAGCAATGAAATCCTTTGGCACTTTATCCTCGTTCCCAACCCGATCCATAATTTTCTCATTAACAGAAAGTGTTATCTCATGGGAAGGTTCCAAGGCAATGGATACAGTATCAACAACGTCAACTGAACACCTAGATAGTTGGTCTTCACTTATAGATTTTTCGATATCCTTCACTACAGAGTCATGCCCAATAAAAACTGCATGTTCTTTCAAAATTGAGACTGAAGAATAATGACTGTCTGTTTCAAGAACAATGATCTCGTCATCGTCATCTTCAATTAGTACACTGGAAGGATTTGCGAAACTAACAAAATCACCATCAATGAAAGTTCCGCATGCCATTGATTCCGGTTGAATTGGTTTTTCTCCTTGATTCTCAATAGGGGGCTCTCCCAGCGGAACTGTCATTTTAACATGGACCTGCTGTTAGCATCTGTTAGACCAACCAAATCCACACACACACACACTCTCTCTCTCCTTCTCTCTCATACACAATGCCCTATTATGTTCATCCATACAAATTTATGCAAACAAATATGAAACATAACTAAGGAGGAATAGACATGTAACCTACCATCAACTTTTGTAATAAAATATGTTGACTAAAGACAAACTTAAGAACTGGCATTTGTAAACAGAAAGAAGATCACAAAAAAATTAATTAAAAAAAACTGTTTTCAAACCTACTGAATTAATTTTTAATACAACAAAAAAGATAAAGTAACCTTACCCTCATTAGATACCTCATGAGCACTGTGAACAGTGTCAGATACCTCAGAACGCCCGGTGAAAGATGGTAAAACTTCAGAAACAATAAATTCGACTGCTGCTTTGATATCATTAGGGTGTTCAATAGCAACAGCTTTTAGTACACGAGAATCCACCTGAGGAAAAGAGAAATGCTCCTTAGGTTCCCAGAAAACTGAAGTCACTTTTAAGGAAATAGTGCAGAGCCATATACATAAGACAAACGTCAAAAACAGAATAATAATGTAATTCTTATATATCAAAAGTTACAAATGAAACAATCCAGATTTTGATGGACATTCAAAGTAACACATGAGTAAGCAGTTATCTAAAATGAGGTTTATTAAGTGTACACACAAACATATGCGGCCTAGCTCCCCTTTCAGTCCTAAGCAACCAAGAAACATGTCAATCTGTTCAATCAAGCACATGCAAATTATGCACCCACATACACAGCTAAACAAGTCCATGACAAGTTTGAATATCTAGCCCAAACTCAACATTTCACATACCAACTTAAATATAAAATGAGATATGCCGCTATAAACATCTAAAATTCAAACTGAAACCTATCTGTCCCATGAATTTGACTCTTCATCCCTTTCCTCTTTATGTCCCTATGCAGTTAAGGAGCCTCCATTCAGCGGAGCCACAAGATAGCAACGGATGATGGCAAAACCGTAGTGACAATCAACAACGAGCAAGCCGACGACACAATGACTGCCAGACGAGTATGTATCTAGTTTCTCTCAACTTCTTTCTTATATTCTTCCAATTCTTTGCGTTTTTTGAGTTTCTTGTTGTAGTTGGAAATAGGATAAGCTTCTGCTGTTGGTACGACAACTTTAATTCTAAACGTCTTGAATTGCAGTTGTTTTTCTTTGAGTCCTTTTATAAGTATGGTAGCATTTAATCTCATATGTTATCTTTTCCTTTTTTTGGATATTTTCATCTAAATATTATAGTATCGAAAAATTCAAACCCCGCATAACTTTATGTAATCTGTTTAATCGATGCACAACCATTATGCGCTCCCAGACTAATCCATAACGAACCTGCTAGAACATTGTGAATGTAAATAGAATCAATACATTAAATGACTGATGCACAGGGTGCTCTCACGACAAAAAGCAACATAGAAAATGATAAGAAATGAAAGTGAACCTTGGAACTTACCCGAGACCACCAGAGCAGTTTGACTCCAATGTTCCTCTAAAAGTCAACTGGAGAATCTTTTCAGTAGCTAAACTGATTTACTAATGCTTTACCTTAACATTACACCCTACCATTAGATAACCAAACTTAAAATTTTGCATTATCAAATTCTAACTGTGGCAACAAATGAAATTCTAATTGTGACTGCAAAAGATAAAGGTTGTACCGAATTCTAAAGGATCCACTAAACTTTCACATTGCAAAAAACACCCTACACGTTATAAAATCGCTACAAAATTTCTAAAATTAAAGGAATAAAATACTAAAAAAAAGGAAAAAAAAACAAACTTAGGGTTTTATAAAATAATTGTGATCAGAGTTAATCAGTATTTACCTGAGGAAAATCCCGCAACAAACTCTCATATGCCATCTTATAACCCATGAGGACTTCACCTGGAAAAAAAAAGAAGCAGAGGGATTAAGGATCAGAAAACAGGAAGAGACAAAATTATCGATGAACTCAGAGAGAGGTCTAGAAGAAAACCCTAGGGGTAAAATTGTAAATCTGATCGCTGAATTTCTCGGCGACGAGGAGGAGGAGGATGAGGAGCGCGGGGACGAGGGGCCGCCGGCTTAGTTGGTTATTTATAGGAGCTGACCAGACGTGAAAGAGGAAGGTGGGATGTAATTTGGTAAAAGCTAGGGACTCTTTTGTCTTTTGTCGGTTACCACGGAAAATTTGATATGAAGATAAAGTAATTTATAATTTAGTTCCAATAAAAAAAATAATGTTAGAGGCACACCACCCACCACAACCCCAACCACACCCCCCCTCTCATTGCTACAATAAACCGGGCCCCACATGGGAATTTAAAAATTTAAAATCCCATGTGGGGCCCGGTTTACTATAGCAATGAGGGGGGGAGTGTGGTTCGGGTTGTGGTGTGTGGTGTGCCCCTAACACCACTCATACAAAAATAGATGAAAGATTTTGAAATAAGTCGGCGTGCAAAGTAGGATTAACATGACTTATCTTCTTCTCATGCAGGCCTAATGTTTTCTTCCTTTTTTTTACATATATGGCAAAAAAAAAAAAAAAGAGGATGGCAATGATCCCTCGGGGTCCCCGGTCAAGGAGGATGTTTTACTGGGTCTGCTCCCACTTAGTGCATGTTTGTTTGCACAGAGGTAATTATGAAGTAGCTGAAGTAAAAGAAATAGATGTTACATCTGCTACTTCCAAACAAAAAAGTTTGATTATCTGAAAAACTTACTTTCAATACTTTCTTAAATACTTATATGGCGCCTACGTGTCATCTTTACTTCTAAAATATTTTTCCAATCCTTAATACGCAGAAGTAGCTCGGAAGTAGTTAAAAATGCATATTAATTAGGAAATAAATAATTATTTTATTAATATTTTTTATTAGTTAATTCTAACAACTTTTCATTGATAAAATTGCTCTTAATTTTAACAATTATTTTGTAGTAATTTGTGATGGTCGTCGGTAAACTTTTTTTTGGGATGAAGAGAATAGTTTGTCTATTAATTCTTTGTCTAAATACCACGTTGATATTACGATCAAAGAAGTGAGGGAGGAGGGAAATTAGAGATTCATAGGAATTTATGGTCATCTGGAATCTCATCCTAGGCGAGAGGTAAACAATTATTTTGAAGCTATTGCTGTCAAAACAGAAATATAATAATATAAAACCCAAATTAAAAGTTAGAAAATTCAGGCCTGATCGGGAGCAGTCGTGATGTCACTGCCCTAGAAGATTAAGGATCCGCCTATCGCCCTGGCGTAATTTGTCCCCTCTCCTCTAGCGGTAAAAACCTCCGGAATCGACCGGCCTCTGCACTCGGGCGTGAGTCACAGAGCTTATGCTCAAACGAAAACGGTTGCCCAAAAATGAATATAAATATGTAGCCGGAATTTCTTGGAGAAATAAGAGTAGAGAAAGAAGAGAGCTTAGAAGTTCTTCTCTTCGTTGGTGTGTTTCTGAATAAGCTCCAAGCCTGCTTATATAGGTGAGGAGAAGTGTAACCCCCGCTGAATCCAATGGACCGTTACGCACATTGTTAGCCCTTATGTTTTGATGATGTTTTACAACCACCATTAACGGTACTAATGGCTTATTGAGTTGAAATATAGTAAATTCATTTATCAAGTTTGTTAGTGCCATTCATGGAGGATTGGATGGAATATACGCTACAACGATGATATCCAAAGGAGGAGGAAGCATAGTGATGAAGCAATGTTATTTCAAGAACAACAAATTCATATAAAAGCTTCATCCAAACTCAAGCTATATCAAGACTCAAGAATTGTATTCTATGTGAGGATATTAGCTAGTTTTTATTCTCTCTCTAGTATTAGAATGTAGGCAAAGAGTTATTGATTTTACTTGAAGCTATTGGGACTCACACACACGTTTTCATACTTATGCTTTTAAGCGTTTTTCACAAAATACTATTTTTCACAAGTATGAGGACCTATCTGCAAAATTCTTTTTTCAAACAATTTGTTTTTAGTATTAAAAACATTTTACAAAGTTTCATAATTTTCAGAGGTCAAATAAATATTTTCTAAATATTTTTGTTTGAGTCAAAATACTGTTCTGGAATGTATCAGAATGCGGTCGACCGTACCGGTCGACCACACTTATGATCTTTCGTCACTGGGCAACAGAGAGTTTGTCGGTCGACCGCACCGGTCGACCGAAAGCCCGATTTTTCTATCGGTCGACCGGTGCGGTCGACCGATGAAGTCTCTGCTTTTTTTCTTTGTTTTCAGACCTGCTCGCGGTCGACCGGATTTTTCGTCGGTCGACCGATTTCATTCGTTCGGTCGGCCGAACGTTCTGTCGGTCGACCGAAAATCTATTCGGTCAACCGAGACTTTTTTTTAACGGTCGTTTGCCTTGTTTACTGTACTATCACTTAACTGTGTTTGGCACAGTCTGTGGTATAGTCTGAATAGGAGATTATTTCTTAATTGGGTAGATTGGGTTGTGATTTTAAAATGATTAATCTCTCCTATTTAAACCCATACTCCTTCATCTTCTTGGCTGCCCTAATTTCTGCAAAAACCAGAGAGACGCTGTCTTCCTGAGAAAAAATTTTCAAAATCTGTTCTCTGTGTTTTCTCTGTATTTTTGTGTGCGTTCACTTCCCAGCTTCAGTATTCTTTCTCTTTGCCATAGGGACTTGTAAAGAGAGAGTCTTGCACCATTTCTATTGCTTTGTGAGTGTGATCTTGTGTAGATCAACTGTGAGGGAGTGTGATCTGTTGAGATCAACTGTGTAGTGTGAGATCGTGAGGGGATCGCTGTGTAGATGAAGTTCCGGCTTCCAAACCGGGTGTGTAGTGGATTTCTCCTCGAGAGTGGGGAGCGGGGACGTAGGTCAGCGGACCGAACCTCGTTAACACATCGCACGTCAAAGGATAACAATTCCTAACCCTATCTCTTTTACTTTGATCGCATTAGAATATTGTGGTTTGCTTGTTTTAATTTTATTACATAATTAGAGCCTCTTGACCCTAATCCCCCCCCCCCCTCTAGGGTCCAACAATTGGTATTAGAGCTTGGTCTCTATATTAATTTTTGGTTTAACCACCTTAGAGAAAAGATCTAATGGAGGCCTCTTTGAATATGCATATGTTAGAAGGACAATCCACCACTAGACCACCACTCTTCACCGGGAGCAATTTTGCTTATTGGAATGCTAGGATGAGAATTTACCTTCGTTGCATTGATCTTGACATCCTAGAGCTCATAGAAAAGAAATATGTAGAGAAGTCCAAAGTCGGGAACATGACCGATGGAGAAAGGCACCAAGACAATCTAAATGCTAAGGCCATGAACGCCTTAATTTGTGGTCTTTCCCCCAATGAATACAATAGAGTTTTCACGTGTGCAACCACATACGAAATTTAGGTAAAATTATGTATCACACATGAAGGAACCCCCCAAGTTAAGGAATCTAAGATTAGTGGGCTTATGCATGATTATGAGCTATTTAAAATGCTTCCAAATGAATCCATTGATGCTATGTTTTCCCGTTTTACTAATATCATCAATGAATTACATGGTCTTGATAAGCACTTGTCTATTCAAGAGATGAACTACAAGATACTTCACTCTTTGACTCCGGCATAGGAGCCCAAAGCTACGGCTATTGAGGAAGCTCATGATCTTACTACTCTAGCTCTCGATAGCCTCATCGGAAAGCTGAAGGTCCATGAGAAGAAGCTCAAGGGGAAGGAGAAGGAGGAAGTGTCATCACAGGAAGTTGAGGAGCCATCACCAAAGTTGAAGACCATAGCTCTCAAAGGAGCTAGTGATAACTCCTCTTCGTCATCGGATAGTGAAGTTGATTTTTCTAGAGAAGTGGCTCATCTCTCTAGAAGAATCTCTAGACTCATAAAAATGAACAAGAAATTTAACCTCCGATCTAACAACAAGTTTTCCTCTCGTGTACGTAAATGTTTTGAGTGCAATGAATCGGGTCACATCGCTAAGGATTGCCCCAAGCTCAAGGAAAAGTACATGAAGTACAAGAAGAAGAAGGCTATGTATGCCGGATGGGAAGAATCCGAACCAAGTGACTCGGATAGTGATGAAGAAGGAGCCAAACTTGCTCTTCATGACCCCAACATTTGTTTCATGGCAAATGAACATGAGGTAATATCCGAGACCGAAAGTGAATCTTTCTACATGCAATGTGACATAGCTATGACTTTAGAAGAATTGAACTTTGAATTTAAAAGAATATCTAAAGAATACTCTTCTTTTAAAAAGTTGCATGCTTCTTGTGATATTAAGCTAGAACAATTAACAACCTCTCTTGCACTAAAAGATGAATTGCTAGGAGATCTCGATTTCGAGAATAAGCAATTAAGATCAAAGATTGAAAGACTAGAAATTGAGAGTGGTTGGACTAGACCCACTCATGCTTATGCTAACTATAATCACCATGGTAGAAATAGGTTTCATGGTTCTCACACCCATACATACAAAAGAAATTTTGTGTGCACATATTGCATGAAACATGGACACATTTCTACTCATTGTAGGATTAAAGACAACCATGATTTTTATGGAATGATATGGGTACCCAAAGGTACCAAGACTACTAACCACCAAGGACCCAAGACTTGGGTACCTAAAGCTACTACATCTTCATCTTCATCTTTTGTAGGGAACATCACGGCAACAACGTAAGGAGATGTGGTACCTTGATAGTGGTTGCTCACATCATATGACGGGAAACAAAGAGTTATTTGCAACCCTATCAAGGATTGAAGGAGGTAGTGTCTCCTTCGGTGGTGGTGAGAAATGTAAAATCATTGGTATTGGTTCTATTGGTAAGAAACTCTCACCCGTTATAGAAGATGTTTATTTGGTAAATGGTTTGAATCATAATCGTCTTAGCATTAGCCAATTGAGTGATAAAGGTTTTAATATTTCATTTAAACTGGATAAATGCATCATTAGTATGAATGAGAAAATTGTTTTTATTGCTAATCGCAAATCTAATGTATACATTTTTGAGATGAATGAATTAGTGAATCAAGATGTGAAGTGTCTTGCGGCAATTGATGAAAATCATTGGATTTGGCACAAGAGACTTGGACATGCAAATATGGAGTTAATATTAAAATTGTCTAAGAGAAATCTTG